TTTTTCTGCTGCCGGTAGAAACAGCAGTTTGAACAAAGTAAGACCGTTTTCCACTCCTAGGGAAAAGGAATCTAAGCAGTTTAATAAATTAATAATCTGGAATTTTCTGTAACTCATGAGTCACCCAGATGGACACCTTAGACATGTCTGTAATGGTATGCTGCTGTTTGGTAAATAGGCCACCTTTTGTGGGCATGTGTATTTTTATTTTAATGACTACCCTCCTTTTACAGATCTTAATCTTTTATTCATTCCCTATTGTAGCCTAGTCCATCAGTAATCTCTGCTCTTGTCACTCTAATGTGACTGGATAACAGCCTAGATAGAGAGGCACTGTTCTGATTTGACATATTCGAATAGTTCATGTATTCTCATTGCATAAATGTCTTATTTCTTAAGAGTTTTATATAAATATATTGAGGCAGAGTAACAAATGTACAGATTTGCTTTGTTTCTCTCAGTAAAATAGCTAGTTTCATTTAGTTATCTTTAAGAAAGAAACCTTAAGTCAGAGCTAAATTAGCTCAATGTGCAAAGCAGATTTTCACTGTTTGGTCTCTTTTAGGTACAGTGTGTTTTGAAACCCAGTCACCAGAAAGATGGGCAGGAGCTTAGTGCTTTGCTGAATGCCCCTCACATTCAGGTAAAATTAGACAAAGCTGGTACTGTGCAATCTACATCATGTAGATTTTAAAAATGTTTTGTGTTTTATTTCTTGCAAACACCTTAAAAACACTGGTTTGAAACTTGTTTCTTAAGGCTAAAAACAGAGTGTTCCTAGTATATATGGAAAATCTCCATGTGATTGAAAAACGAAAACTTATGTGTTTCATGGGGGACAAAATTCTAACTTCCTGCTAATGAAATTTGCTATTAAAATGAAATGCACACTTGGGGTTCAGTGCCACCCACCAGTCTTCAGGTGTATTTAGTTGCATACCTAGTAAGCCAACCTTCAGTGTTTATGCACAAAGCAGAAGATTGACTTTAAACATAACCAATGGAAGAGTGAAGCTGCGCTGGGTGCGTGGGTATATAATACAGTATTATTTCCCTCTGCATTGTTGCCCAAAAACTCAATCAGCATTGGGGCTCCATGGTGCTAGGCACTGTATAAACACATAGGAAGACAGACTTTTGCCCCATACAGTTTACTATCCAAAATTACAAAAAAACAAGGGAAGGGAAAAAAGTATGGCATACAAAGTGAACAGGAAGATAAAGGCTTATGTGGAGGGAGAGTGAGACTGGCAACAGAGGGCCTCTGATGGGAAGCAGCTAAGATAAGTTAAAGGCAAACAGGCATTCATCAAATGCAAAATAATGTCCAGAGTTCAGATGGATTTAAAAAAAAAAGGGAGGGGAGGGGTTGCTGCTATTGGTGGCATTGAGGTGCTATGGAAGTATTAACTGAATAGGGGGCCCTGGCTGAGTGTAATGGTTCTCTGCCGCGTCTGGCTGTTTTGGGGGAATCTTTGCTGTTCCTTTGGGCTGACTGCTGGAGCTTGGAGACTGTGGAGTGGGGTGGTCTTATTGGGAAAGTGTTCCTTTTCC